GCGGCCGCTCCTTGGTGCGGGAGCCGCGTACGTAAGCGGCCACGGCCCGCGGCGCTGCTTTGCTCCGCTGCATGCTGAGGGCGCCTTGGGCTGCGGCTCGTCTCCACACGCTTCACGGGATTCGAGCCACGCTGTACCAGTCTCGTCGGCTAGCTTTCGGCCTCAGCTCGGCTGTACCTTGGTCGGAAACTGGAACATATACATTACCAGTGGCGTGCTGTTTTTCAATTCCTGGACTTCTTGAGGGTCAGGGACGACGTCGGGGTGGTGTGGTGTATAGTTGTTTCCCCGTTTTCCTTGGGAAAACGACGAACATGTATACACCAGCATCCCGTATACACCAGGATCCGCTTTCTTGTTCGAGTTTCAATGCAGGGCCGACAAAAAGCGTCGGTGTATCGAGTTCGGTTCCCTACTTGGTCGTCCCCTGTCCACCCCACTCCTCGGGCGAGGAGAACTACGAACATACGCGCAGATCCTGGCCAGGCCCACTCTGGTGTGTGTGTGTGTGTGTGCTTCCCTGGCCAAACAAGGAGGGCGTATGCACCGATCATGGGCACAGGGTGGGCCCGCCGAGAAGCGGTGTGTATATGTGTGTGTGTGTGTGTGCACAGTTCGGAGGCCAGCCCAAGGGGGGAAGCGAGAGGGGGCTTTCGGCCGGGGAGGCTTTCGGCCGTCTGACGAGTTGTCCAAAAGCCTTCCCCGTGGGCGCAGAGAGCTGCGCAGAAGGCGCGGGGGCCTCCGAGAAGCCCCGCCGCCCTCTGAAAAAGGCCCCCCCCCCCGAGGTCGTTCTCCCCCTCCTCGTTCTCCTCGCGAGGTTCGTCCTCTCTCTCCGCCCCCTCCCCCGCGCTGGCCGCCGACCGGCTCTCCTTCCTCGACGCCTCCCCCGCGCCTCGCTTCGCCGAGGCGCGGCGGGAGCAGCCTTTGGCGGCCCGTGCCCGCCAGTCCTCCGCCGCGCCGCCAGGCGGGGGCGTGCGCGCGCGCGCCCCGTCTCTGCCGCCGCGCGTCCTCCCTCCTCCTCCTCCTCCTCCACCTCCACCTCCTCCTCCTCCTCCTCCTCCTCCTCCTCCTCCTCCTCCTTCCTCCTCCGCGGGCGGTTCCGAGAGGAGGCCGTGAGCCCACGGGGTGGAAGCCCAGGGATCCGCGGCTCCGAACACTCGGAGCGGCAGCGGCGCGGGGCTCTCTTCGAGGGCACGGCCTGGCGGCCCCACGCGGCCTCCCGGGGGCCTCGCCGGGGCGTCTGCGTCCGGTGCGGCTGCCGGGCCCCCACGCGGCGGCGCCGGGCGAGCCGCCCCTGCGCCGTGCGCTGGGTGGACCCCCGTGCTGCCCCGCGGGCCCTCAGCGGGCCCCGGGACCGTCCACAGAGAACGACGCAGGGCAAGACACTGGCCCCAGGGCCCCATAGGGAGGTGGTCCAGATCTCGGGGGGGCCCACGCTCCACGCAGCAGACAAGTTGTGCGCAGGGGGTCTGGTTGTGGGTGCATGGGGGGAGGATAGGAGTGGATCTGGGTGCAGGGGGCAGGAAGGGTAGAGATCGTTTTTCTTTTTCCTCTGGCGGGTAACGCTTGTTACCTGGGCCCAACCCCCCGGGTAACGCTAACGATCGTACGTTTTTGGGGGGTGGAGGGTGGACCCCCCTCCTCTCAGCAGGTATGGCAATTGATGTGCCGATGGCGCGGATGCACCCTGGCGGGCGCGTTCCGCGGCCGCCGTTACCGTTACCCGCCGGTCCACCCTCCCCCCGGGTAACAGCCGTTACCCAAAATAACAAACAGTTTCACATGAGTGCAAAAGGGAGGATATGAGGCGTTCCAGAAAGGGCCTCGGCTTCGAGGATCGGAGGAGCTGCCATCTTTTCCTCGGGCGCAGGGGCGGCGGAAGGCCGCCGCAGGCCGGCGGGAGCAAGAATCGGCGGAGGGCGTGCGGAGCATCCAGAGTTAAGTCGGGCCTGTCCCTCTATCGATTAGACGTAAGAGTGACCTTTCGCCGGAGTGTCCTTTGGTGCGGGCCCAATGGGGTCCCCCGATCGCCGAACGCGATGCGGTAGTCGCGTCTTGCGCGCTCGTGTTTGGTCCCCCCGCGGCCCCCCCAAAAAGCCGCGCACCAAAGGTCACTCTTACCCAGGTTCACTCTTGCGTGTAGTCGATTCTACAATATGAATATCCAAAAGATGCAACATAATCGTACGGTGACGATTTGTCTAACATCTCTTGGCCATTTTGGAACATGTCTTGGGTATTCGTCATTTTTCGTCGAAGATCGGCCTGTATGGGGGACATGCCCGACTCAAATCTAGGGAGGCGAACCTCGCGTCGCCACCCCTCGCAGGGGAGGGCGGCGCGGGGGCAAGACGTTAGTCGGGCCGGACGAAAGGGTGGGATAGGGAAAGGGGGGGGGTACGAAATTTGCTGCATGCAGCTGGTTTCGGCCCCACCGAGGGGCCCAGTCCTCGATACATAGCCGCCTCCGGCGCCGGGAGGCGCCCGGAAAATCAGCTACGTGAGCTGATTCTCAACCCCCCCCTTTGCTATCCCCCCCTTTCGCCCGGCCCGAGTTAGGTCCTTTCTTCTAGCTTTTGTACTGTGCAGGCTCGC